ACCTAACAGCGAAGACTGATAGGTTTCTAGTTGACTCAAAAGAGCTCACAGATCACTCCACAGGGGGGTCCGGGCAGGTGTTCGGAGTTGCCGGGCGGCAGGTGCCGGGCTCGTTTTTCGCCAACAGTCACACACTTCGTGCTCTTCGATTTCCCAGAACTCCATTCCCAGGCCACATTCTGGAGGGCCGAATGCAACAGTCACACACTTCGTGCTCTTCGAGTTCCCAGAACTCCATTCCCGGGCCACATTCTGGAGGGCCGGATGCAACAGTCACACACTTCGTGCTCTTCGAGTTCCCAGAACTCCATTCCCGGGCCACATTCTGGAGGGCCGGAGCAACAGTCACCACTTCGTGCTCTTCGAGTTCCCAGAACTCCATTCCCGGGCCACATTTTGAATGCCCGGAGCCAACTGTAGGCCACTTCGTGGTCTTCGAGTTCCCAGAACTCCATTCCCGGGCCACATTTTGAATGCCCGGAGCCAACTGTAGGCCACTTCGTGGTCTTCGAGTTCCCAGAACTCCATTCCTGGGCATGAATTTGAATGCCCGGAGCCAACTGTAGGCCATTCCCGGGCCAGATTTTGGATGCCCGGAGCCAACTGTAGGCCACTTCGTGGTCTTCGAGTTCCCAGAACTCCATTCCTGGGCATGAGTTTGAATGCCCGGAGCCAACTGTAGGCCACTTCGTGTTCTTCGAGTTCCCAGAACTACATTCCCGGGCCACATTTTGAATGCTGAGGCAGGCTGAGGCTGAGGCTGAGGCAGGCTGATGCTGAGGCAGGCTGAGGCTGAGGCTGAGGCTGATGCAGGCTGAGGCTGAGGCAGGCTGAGGCTGAGGCCGAGGCTGAAGGCAGACTGAGGCTGAGGCTGAAGCAGGCTGAGGCTGAGGCTGAGGCAGGCTGAGGCTGAGGCAGGCTGAGGCTGAGGCTGAGGCAGGCTGAGGCTGAGGCTGTGACTGTGACTGCCGTTGCCACTGCGACTGTCATCGCGAATGCGACTACGACTGCGAGAACAGCACAATTCTACAACTGGATTCTCATCTGAATCTTAAGGGGAATGCTTCCAGATATGCTCCTACACATCGCTGTTAGGTTGCTTTGCCGGGATAATGTTTGATATTTCGTTTTGTTCTGCGTATCGGTCACTCGTCTCACCTGGGGCGATAGGCGTCCGCTGCGCGAAGACGCTGCCAGTGAGACTCGAGACGCATTCTCCGCTTAGTGAGAGACTAAACATGGAGCTTGGTGGGTTCCTGGCACGTCTGACGCCGTTGGGAGCCGTCCTGGGGGCCTTTCTGGGCCGACTGGGGGCCCTTTTGGGGCGCTTCGGGGCCGTCTTGGAGGCCATCTTGGGCGTCTTGGAGGCCACCTTGGGCGTGTTGGAAGCCTCTTGGGCCGTCTTGGGGCCCTCTTGGGGCCGTCTTGGAGGCCACTTGGGCCGTCATGGGGCCCTCTTGGGGGCCTCTTGGGCGATCTTGGGGGCCTCTTTGGGCCGTCTTGAGCCGTTGGAATGCCGAGAAGAAGCATATTCCACAATCCTTCAAAAACCTTAGGAAATCAATGATTTTGGCTTCTTCGGGCCCTCCTGGAGGACCTCTTGGAGGCCTCTTGGGCCGTCTTGGAGGCCTCTTGGGCCGTCTTGGGCCGTCTTGGACTTCTCTTGGGCCGTCTTGGAGGCCGTCTCGGACCATCTCGGGCGGACTTGGAGGCCATCTTGGGCCATCTTCGCGATTGTTTGAGGATGTCCCGAGCGAAACGGCCGTTTTTGGCATTGACTGATGCAGTTTCCGGGTGGCCGGCGGGACGTGCCGGAGCCCCAGGGGGAGTTCTTTTGGAAAAAGACCCAAAACCAAAACCGAAAGGGTCTAGCACGCCAGGCACCCCTGCGATGAATCGACAGGGGGCGGCGGATCGAAGACGCCTACGGCGAATCACCGCCGCCCCCTGCCTTTTTGGAAGCGCCTATGTGGCCGAACGTTGAGGCCAGACCTGCCAAGCTATCGGACCACGTGTTCCCCGAATCGGTTTGGAAAGCCTTCGGGGAACACGTGGGCATCTTGAAGGTCATCTTGGCCGTCTTGGAGGCCTCTTGGGCAAGCTTTGGGCGATCTTTGGGGCTTTTTGGGCCGTCTCGGGCCAGCTTCGAGCCAACTTCGGCCATCTTGGTGGGTTCCTGGCACGTCTGAAGCCGTCGGAAGCCGTTTGGGGGGCCTCTATGGGCCGACTTGGGGCCCGCTTGGAATGCTCCAGGGCCGTCTTGGAGGCCATCTTGGGCGTCTGGGAGGCCATCTTGGGCGTGTTGGAGGCCTCTTGGGCCCTCTTGGGGCCCTCTAGGGGCCATCTTGGAGGCCACTTGGGCCATCATGGGGCTCTCTTGGGGGCCTCTTGGGCGATCTTGGGGGCTTCTTGGGCCGTCTCGAGCCGTCGGAGAGCCGAAAAGGCGCAAATGCCAGAATCCTTCAAAAACCAAGGAAAAATCAATGATTTTGGCCTCTTCGGACTCTCCTGGAGGACCTCTTGGAGGCCTCTTGGGCCGTCTGGGAGGCCTCTGGGGGGCCTCTTGGGCCGTCTTGGGCCGTCTTGGACTCTCTTGGGCCGTTTTGGAGGCCGTCTTGGACCATCTCGGGCGGACTTGGAGGCCATCTTGGGCCATCTTCGCGATTTTTTGAGGATGTCCCGAGCGAAACGCCGTTTTTTGGAGGATTGTTTCCGGTCGTTGAGCACGTTTGGGGGCCTTCCGGGTGGCCGGCGGGTTCTGCCGGAGCCCACTGGGGAGTTCTTTTGGAAAAAGAACCAAAACCAAAACCTGAAACATCCAGCACGCCGTGCACCCCTGCAAGCAGGGGGCGGCGGATCTTGTGGCCTTCGGCTCAACCCGCCACCGTGCCTTGGCTGTGGCTCAGAAGCTCCTTAAATGCATATGAGGGTCTCTTCGGATTCCTGTCGGGGGCCTCTTCGAGGGCTCTCGTGGCCTCTGGGTACGCCTTGTGGCCCTCTTGGCAGCCTCTTGGGGCCTCTGGGGGACTCTTGGGCCCCTGGGGGGGAAGGGCTCCGAATGTCAGCTCGTATTCCCCCTTGTGGGCCGTGCGTAAAGCCCTCTTGCGCTTGGCCGTGGCCGTCTTGATGGCCCCTAGGGCCGTCTTGGGGTCCTCTTGGGCCGTCTGGGGGCCCTCCTGGGGGCCTCATGGGCTGTCTTGGGGCGGTCTTGCGGACCCCTTGGGCCGCTTTGGACGCCGTGAAGACGAATAAGACGAGTGTGCTAAACATTATACGATGTCCGATGGGAATGGGAAGATCTTTGCCTCTTGAGGCTCTCTCGGCGGTCCTCTGGGAGCATTTTGCCCGTCTTGGAGGAAGCATTTTGCCTGTCTTGAAGGCCTCGTCTTGGACCGTCGGGGCGCCATCCAGGGCTGTGTTGACGCTCTGTTTGGGCTCTCGTTTGGAATTGATTGGAGGTTCCCTCCTAAAACAGGATTTTGGACCCTAGGGGAGGGGGAAGGGGAGGGTGACAGTCAATCATCTCACACGCCTCTTCACCCCTGGCAAGCTGGGGTCGGTGGATCTCTGGCTGAGTCTCTTTCTCTCTCTCCCTCCTTGTCTGCCTGCCTGCCTGTCTGTGTGTGTGTGTGTCTTTCTTTCTCTCTCTCTCTCTCTTACTCTCTCACCCCCTATCCCTCTCACCCTCTCTCTCTCCCTCTCTCTTTCTGTCTTCCTCTCCTCCAGAATCAAGGGAGGAATCTCCACCCCCACCCCCTGACCATCGACTGCTAGACCTGCGTCCTGCGTGCTTACTGGGCCAGCCTTGTACCGCTCGTCTCTTCTCTGTTTGGGTGCGTCTGCTGCACAAGGACATCGTTTGCGTGGTCGCGTCGCTCGCCGTGCGTGTGATTCCCCTGCCCTCCCCCGCGGACGCGAGAGCGCAGAGTGCTCCCCAGCGGGCGGCGAGATCTGCACACACACTGTCGAGGCGCCGAGGTACCGGCCTCTCTGGGCTCCGGGGGGGGAGAGAAGCCTGCAGGCAGAAACCAACATTGGCGGAAGGCAGAACACAAGCCTTCGGCTTGCAGGAAAAAAGACTTGGCAGAAAGACCGGGAGGCAGAACAACTCACTGCGTGTCTGAGTAAGTCTGGGTATGAGTACATCTGAGAATGAGTAAGTCTGGGTATGAGGAGGAAGAGGAGGAGGAGGAGGAGGAGGAGAAGGAGAAGAGGGAGAAGAAGGAGTAGGAGGCTTCCAAGTACTAGCAAGAACCCCATCTCAGGATATGCGGAACAAACATGTTGTTTTTGTTTCTGCCACCTGGCTTTTTCTGCCTTCGTTTTTGTTCTGGCTTCGTCGAGGCGTTCCTCGGAGCTCCTCGGGTCGGGGAGCCCACCCTCGGCCGAGGCGTCGCCGTGGACGGGGAGACGCCCCTCGTCCGATCCCCGCCTCGGAGCGCGGAGCTCCCCCTGGTCTGTCGGTGGGCCGCGTGGCCTCCCTGGCCAAGACCGCGGGGGCGTGCACGTTGCTCATGCCTACTTCTTCGAACGTTCTCTGAGTTTTGTTGGGGGGCCAAGATCCCTGTCATTTCGAACTGTTCTATCCTGGGCCTCTTCCCGGCCAGTAGGGGGCCAGGAACACTTAGAAACGAGCACACTTAGACATGGGCACGATTAGAAATGAACGACGTGTACATCGGCAGCGAGCGAGGGGGGGGGCCGGGAGAGAGAAGGTCCTCTCAGAGGGCGGCGGGACTTCTCAGGAGCCCTCGCGGCTCCTGAGAGGTTTCTGTTGTGCCTTTTCCGGGGAGGCCTGGGAAGCTCCTCAGAAGGCCAGGGGACGTCCGAGTCTTCTGAGCAGGCCTCCCTCTCGCGTCCCCCCTCGCTCGCCGCCGGGTATACACCCTCCCTGGGCCCCAGGGCAGGCCTGGCCGGCAGCGGTGGAGAAGGTTTGCAGGTCTCGTCTCCCTGCTCTCCCTCGCTTCCCGCGGCCAGCCCTCCCCGCGCCGCACCCGCAGGCGGCCCCATAGAGCGCCGCGACGGAGACTGGGACTGCCCCAGGTGCGGCAAGATGGTCGAGGGGGGGGGGGGGGGCGGGGCGCTGCCGCAGCGTGCTTGAAAGACGTGGCTCGGCGATGCTGGGGTTGGCGGAGCTTGGAGGCGACGATGGCGACGATGGTGACGCCGATCATGTCGATGGATGGTATGTGCGATGCTGTTTTCGTTCCGATGCCAGCCCGCGCCCCGCCAGCCGTCCCGATGCCACTCACCGCGTCCCCTGGAGCATCAAACGACGCAGCCCGAGAGGGAGCGGGACTGCTGAGCTGTGGGCGGTCGCGAACCAGCGTCATAGTCATTTGCAACAGAAGCAGAGGAGGGGGGCACCCCGAACGGAGGGCGCGAACTACATACCTACACCGCTCCTGGCCAGGCCCTTACCCAGGATCGGTGTGTATGCTTTCTGCCCGAGCTAGGATGGCGTGTACAACGATCCAAGGCCCAGGATGGACATGGTCAGGATCGGCGTATGTGTACAATTGTCGCCCTCCTACCCTGAGAATCAAGCAACCTCATCACTGGACTGCCTCCTGCTGCTGGAGCGGATGCCGCGATTCCATCGGCACTGCAGACCCCTGGCGTCCGGCGTCCGCCGATCATGTTTTTTGTTCAATCCGTGGCTCAAGAATTAAGTCGGGCCTGTCCCTCTACAGGAGGGATATTCAAAACTAGTAAAACATAGTCTGGGGGGAGTATTTTTTGAGTATTTCTAATTCTTCGCCCAAAATCCCCCTGTAGGGGAACAGGCCCGACTTAACTCAAGAGCTCCCGACCCCTTCCCCAGGGAATAGTTTTTCGTCCCTGGTCTGTTATTGATGGCCCGGGGGCCAGAAATCTTGGACAACCGTCGGGACTGACACATCATACATGGTCAGGGTTTTTTGGACAGCGTGTCCTCCTACCCGTCCTGGATCACCTTTCCTCGGTGCGACACGCTATCCGCGTCGCGGCCTCGTGGCGTCCACGTGCCGAGCTTTTCCGAAATTCTCGCCCCGCGGAGCGGTGCGACACGCTATCCGCTCGCAAGCGACAGCGTGTCGCCGGGCCCGCCGCGACACGCTATCCCAAAGTTCCCGACCGTAGTTGTACGTCCCAGATCAGTTTTCGCTGGTCTCGGGCTCCGAAATCTAGGAAAAACGCACAGAATAACAAATCAGACATTCTCGTGCATGCATCCAGGCGATCTCGGGGCAAGCACGAGGCATTGTTCCTCATTTGGCGTTCCTTCTGGTCGAAGCCTAACTGTATCGTCGGAGATCTGGGATGTCTCCGCAGCAGCACCAGCCAGCCCTGTCTCCAGCGGCACGGTCCGCCAGCGGCCGAGCGCGGAGCTGTGTTCCGTCCCCGTTCTGCTCGGGCCCGCCCCGCGGTCCCTCGGCGCCCGCCAGCGGACGGCTGCATCGGCGGCGCCAGGGGGGAGGCGTATCGGGGGTGGCCAAGAGGACGGTGATGATGTCATGGCCATGGCCATGTGCTTCGTGGCTCTCATGGCCAGGGCAATGGATCTCATGGCCACGGCCATGATATGGCCCAGAGGTGGAGGGGGAAATCATGGCCAGGGCCATGGTTCCCCCCCCCCCCCCGTGGTCATACCCGAGAGGGGCGCCCCCCTCTTGGCCCCCCCGAGGATTGGGCAGCCGGCCCACGCGAGGACAGCGGTGGCCTCGGCAGCCCCAGGAGCGAAGCTCCAGGCCTCCTCGACCGGGTCCGAGCAGGTGGGGTCGGAGGACCGCGCCGCATCGCCGGCGCACCGGCGATGCGGCTCGCTGTGGAGCCCGAATTCTCCACGCTGGCATCGCCGCTGCACCGCCGACGCTGCCGATGCATTGCCGACGCATCGGCAATGCATCGGCGACGGCGGCGGGATCCTTCGGCTCCCTTTCTGGGACGCCATGTGGGGAGGCCTCCAGTGGGGCAGACGGCCCGAGCGACGAACACGGTCCCAGCGGCCCCAGGAGCAAGCAGGTTGCCCGCTGTGGTGCAGCGCCGCTGCTCGGCCCCGGGACGTCAGCGGCGCTCTCGGGGGGGTGCCGTGGCGCGCGGGCCGCGGATTTGGCGCGCGGCGCGTGTGAGGGAGGAGCGGAGCGGGCTGTTGGGTGGGGTGGCACAGGTTGGGGGGCCACCTGGACAGTGTGGGGCACGAGCAGGAGGCCACGAGCAGGAGAAGTGGAAGCAGGAGAGGCATGCAGGAGCAAGAGTAGCCAAGGTCTGCCCCCCCCCCCTTCTGCATGTCCGCCATCGATTGCGCCCGGTGCTCAAGGGAGCCTCGAAGACTCATCATATGATGAGGAGCAGGAAGATGATGATGATGATGATGATGATGATGATGATGATGATGATGATGATGATGATGATGATGATGCTGATGCTGATGCTGATGCTGATGATGATGATGATGATGATGATGATGCTGATGATGCTGATGATGCTGATGATGCTGATTCTGATTATGATGGTCATTAGGATGATGCTGATGATGCTGATGCTGATGCTGCTGCTGATGATGATGCTGATGATGATGCTGATGATGTGCATTATGATGATAATGATCATTATGATGATGACAATGACCATGACGATGACGGTTATGCTGATGATGTTGATGATGATGTTTATGATGATGAGGAGGAGGGGGAGGAGGAGGAAGATGAGGATGAAGAGAAGGAGGAGGATGCGGATGAGGATGGTGAGGATGAGGATGAGGATCAGGATGATGATGAGGATGAGGATGATGATGATGATGATGCTGATGACGATGGTGATGATGATGAGTATGATCATGACGATGCTGATGCTGATGCTGATGATGATGCTGGTCGTGATGATCATGATGATGATTATGTTGTTGATGCTGATGATAATGCTGATGTTGTTGATGATGATGTCAATGCTGGGGATGATAGTGATGATGATGATGCTGCTGCTGCGGATGACGATGATGACGACGACGATGATGGTGATGATGCTGCTGTTGATGATGCTACGCGGATGGTGATGATGATGATATTGATTATGGTGATGATGATGGTGATGATGATGATGATGGTGATGTTGATATTGACGGTGATGGTGATGGTGATGGAACGCGTGAGGATGCTGATGATGATGCTGATGATGGTGATGATGCTGTTTATAATGATGTTGTTGCTAAGAACGATGATGCTGATGATGCTGCTGCTGCCGATGATGATGACGATGATGGTGATGACGATACTGCTGCTGCTGATGATGATGCTGATGCGGCTGATGATGATGATGATGATGATGGTGATGATGATGATGATGATGATGATGATGATGATGATGATGATGATGACGATGATGATGATGATGATGATGATGATGATGATGATGATGATGATGATGATGCTGACCATGATGATGCTGATGATGCAGCTGATGATGCTGATGATGCTGATGAGGAGGAGGATGACGTCGAGGAGACGGCGGAGAGGGAGGAGCGATGACGGACGATGATTGAAGACGGAGGAAATGGATGAGTAGGAGGAGGAACAGGAGGAACAGCGCTAGGAGGGCAGGAAACGATGGGCGAGGAGGAGGACAAGGAGAAGGACCAGGAGGACGAGGAGGAGGAGGAGGAGGAGGAGGAGGAGGAGGAGTAGGAGGAGCAGGAGGAGAAGGAAGAGGAGGAGGCGGCGAGCAAGCAGGAGCGGAGTAGGAGGATGAGGATCGGATCTGATCGGACATCCGCGACAGCTCCACCGTGTGGAGGCTGATGTGGGGTGTGGGGGGGAATCTCCAGCCCAAGTTGTCCACACAGTGGGCTTGTTGTACTGTCGGTTGGGGTACGCCCGGTTAGCACAGTGGCCGTATCCTGCTACATGCTACGTGGACAAGAAAACATGGAACGCAGCTAGCTTCAGAGCAGCAGTAACAAGCAATCAGTCAGTCGACTGAGCCTGGAAGATGATTCAGGCCAGAAACGTTAGGACGAGGAGGAGGAGGAGGACCAGGAGGAGGAGGAGAAGGAGAAGGAGAAGTTAGAGGAGGAGGAGGAGGAGGAGGAGGAGGAGGAGGACCAGGAGCCTGAGGAGGAGGATGAGGAGGAGGATGAGGAGGAGGAGGCGAGCAAACAGGAGCGGAAGAGTAAGACGAGGATCGGATCGAGTCGGACCTCCGCGGCGAAAGCTCCACCATGTGGAGGCTGCCGCGGGGGGGGAGGGAGACACCGTGTGGAGGCTGCCGCGGGGGGGTGGAAGCAGTTACGTTGAATCTTCAGCCCAGGTTGCCCGCACAGTGGGCTTGCAGTATGGTGGGGAGGGGCACGCCTGATCGGCACTGTGGCCGTGTCCTTCTGCAGGCTACGTGGACAAAGAGAATATGAAAAACAGCTCGCGTGAGAGCAGCAAGAACAAGCAATCAGTCCGTCGAATGGGCCTGGAACACGAATCGGGCCAGAAACGTTAGAACGAGGAGCAGGAGGAGGAGGAGGAGGAGGAGGAGGAGGAGGATGAGCAGGAGCAGCAGCATCAGCAGGAGGGGGGAGGAGGAGGACCAGGAGGAGGAGAAGGAAGAGGAGGCGAGCAAACAGAGGAGGTGGAGGGAGAATAGGGAGGGAAGAGGAGGAGGATAAGTTGGAGGAGGAGGAGGAAGGAGGGAGGAGGGAGGGAGGGAGGAGGGAGGGAGGGAGGAGGGAGAGGGATGAGGAGGAGGAGGAGGAGGAGGAGGAGGAGCAGGAGCAGGAGCAGGAGGAGGAGGAGGAGAGGAGGACGGAGGATGAGGAGGAGGAGAGGAGAGGAGGAGGAGGAGGAGGAGGAGGAGGGGAGGATCAGGATGAGGAGGATGAGGAGGAGGAGGAGGAGGAGGAGGAGGAGGAGGATCCAGCTTTCCGTGAAGTCTCCGCAGCAGCAAGCCGTTGGTGAGTCTCGAGGACAAAAAGGAGTGCTAAGCACTCGGGACGCCACCTCTTAGGGGGATCCCCGTCCGAGGACGGCGACAAGCTCGAAGATTTCTGAGAGCTGTAGCCCGAAGCCGTCTTAGTCTCCCAAGTGACGG